TTAGCATCTAAGGGTTTCTCACAGAAAATGGAGCAGACTCTATATACGTGACCCAGAACATGTGGGGCTAAGGCCACCTTTTTCTGTAAAACAAAGGCTTTGGCAAGAGGGGCAAATTCAGGCATGATTCTCTGAGAGGAGGTGCAGAAGAGGAATTTGCAAAGCCAATATAGTAAGAAAGAAAAGAATTCCCTATCAGTCACAGGGCCCTCTCTTTTATTCTCAGCCCTAGCGAAATCACTATAAGATGAGTTAAGGGAGGGGAGAGAGAAGGGGACTACTAAATCAAGGTAATCCGGTCCAAATGGGATACCAATGGGGGATAATCCTAGTAAATGGCAAATATCAAGAACAGTAGGGGCCATCATCCCGCATCTAAATTGAAAGAAGTTAAAGATAGGATTCCAAAAACGCACGGCAGTAGGAATAAGGAAAGGGTCCTCTGAGATAGTTACCCTGGATAGTATGAGAGCATCGAGAAGGCAGAGTTCTTGAAGGTCCAAGGTCCTAGCAGGAACAACCCGATCATACCATTCTTGCCACTCTGGTCTCACCGTGGGCCAGCATCGGTGGGGGCGATTTATCCTCCAGTTCTTCCAATCAAGACCACCTTCGTAAAGGAGACACTGGTTTTCTAGACGGGGATATAGGGCTGGGAGCTCAGTAAGGATCTCTTTGAATATGGGCCTGAGCACGTAGTCTTGCTGCACATGGCGACGAGGGACGTTACCCTAGATAGTCTGAGAGCATCGAGAAGGCAGAGTTCTTGAAGGTCCAGGGTCCTAGCAGGAATAACCCGATCATACCATTCTTGCCACTCTGGTCTCACCGTGGGCCAGCATCGGTGGGGGCAATTTATCCTCCAGTTCCTCCAGTCAAGACCACCTTCATAGAGAAGACATTGGTTTTCCAGACGAGGATATAGGGCTGGGAGCTCAGTAAGGATCTCTTTGAATATGGGCCCGAGCACGTAGTCTTGCTGCACATGGCGACGAGGGACAAAGATGCGTCCATCAATAGCGCTTTTCTCCCCAGCTTTGTACTTCTTACATTTTGCATCAATGATCCTCTTCAGGGCCACAGATGGGCTCATACGCTCTACGACCGATACTAAAGGAGAAGCCATTGACAGTATGCTTTTCTTGAAAGTGAAACCGAGAAGGGAAGTAGAGTGGAGCCGAAGATCGGTAGAAAGAGGGGTTTGTGCACTAAAAGAGCAAGTGGTTTCAGAGCACGAAACAAAAGGGTTTTTAATGCCTTTGTGTCTGAAAATATATTGCGTAAGTTGTTAAGTATTAGAAGTGCGAATACAAAAAGCTTCCTTCAATATTGATACTTTTGGAGGGAAAAACAAAGCCCAGATGTTGAGGCTAGCTTCGAAGTAAGATATTTGGCTTTGAAACCAAGTTTTAGCGCCAAAAGCCAAAAAACAACAGCTTCGAAACAGAGAAGCCGGCTTCGAAGCAGGTTTCCATACCCAAAATATAAGAATACTCGAGTGTTTATTTTACTTCAAAGGGTTTAACGACCTGTGTTTTAGGTTTTTAACAAAGGTAATGTCCTTCGAGGCAAAACCTGAGATTCTTTAAGGATAGGATTTGGTGTTTGAAACATCAAAAGCAATAATGACAATGACTAGATGTTGATTATGGTCAAAACAGACTTTAAGTATAAGATTGCTAGATCCGAAAGCACTGTCTCTAATTGCAAATCAGCCAAAACTGTCAACTTTATTCCACAAATTGGAAAAGTTCATGATTGGCTCTTTTAAGTGTTTCATTTAAAACAATTAAGTCCAGATTCAAAGGATGAAATTGTTCAATTCGAAGCCCTGAATTGACTTTTAAAACACAAGTGAAAGCAGGGTCAAACAATGCCAAATGAAGAAGAATTTTGTTTATGTTAAAGCCAAAGCGATTACATCAGGTGACCCTATCTCGGTATAAACTCGAACTCATAAAAATAAGGAATGGAATAAATAACAAGATCATGAAATTTAGTCCAACAATGATCAATAAACTTTTGTTCTTTCGTTATTCTATCTTCTAAGTCTTCTAGCATTGGCTGCATAAGTTGATGTGTTCTCACTTCGTAGTAGAGCTCTTCAGCCTTTATTTCGAAAGCCACCTCTCTTAATTCTTGTTCCAATTCGTCAATGTCTAAGTCATCCCAATACGAAAATCTTTATTCTTGAAATTCATCGAATTCTTCAATAAAGTTCTCTACTTCGTACTGACATGAATTCGAAGAGACGAAAGTTGGTCTAAAGATTGTAGTAGAGCTCTTCAGCCTTTATTTCGAAAGCCACCTCTCTTAATTCTTGTTCCAATTCGTCAATGTCTAAGTCATCCCAATACGCAAAATCTTTATTCTTGAAATCACCAAATTCTTCAATGAAGTTCTTTGCTTCGTACTGAGCATGAATTCGAAGAGACGAAAGTTGGTCTAAAGATTGTGTAGTAGCCACAGAATTTCGATGCCAGTGGAGAAGCAATGGAAGTTGGGCCAGAAACATATGAAGTTCTGCCTGGGCAAGGGGATTAAGGACATGGCCCCTAGTCAGAATATCACAAGCCCATCGAAAGTTCTTGAGTGGGACTTCGTCCTCAAGAACATTAAAAGGCAAGTGAGAGAAAGCTGCAAGCAGAAGTTGAGCTTGTTTCCGCTTAGCTGGAGTAGGAGAAGGTAGAGGTTTATAAGGTGGAAAGACGTTATTCATGGATAGGGCAAGCTTCAGTCTCTCTGTCCAGCAAAGAGTTGGTGGAGGAGAAGGTATGAATACTTCAATTTCGGGAGACGAAGAAGAAGGTGTGGACGCTTCTATTTTCGGAGATGACACGGGAGCAGAAGGATCAAAGGCATTAATATAATCAAGCCAGTCAGAAGAACAAATCTTCGCCTTCTGGGCTAAGAATGATGGGTTGTACCCTTGTGCTTCTTCTGGGCAGCGGGCAGCGTGCACTATCTATGTAGGCATGGAGGATGTATACCATGCTACAAGCAGATTCTCCTCTAGACTACGTCGATGGTCAATGGGCACATAGGGATAGACTACTGAACTTCGAGCATAGGAAGGAAACTCTAAAGGGTCAGTAAACTTAACAAAATGGTGGTTGATTCGCTCCTTCAAATCACAGGTCTCAAATGTTGACCGGCTTGTCCAGTCAGAACCCTCAGAAGAGGAAGAAGTTGCAGCTTTATCCCATGCAGAGACTTGTGAAGAAGAGTTTCTTAAGTCCATATTTGCAACTTTTCAAATCAAAGGTTTGAGAGCAGTTTGTTCGAATTGTAAGGGTGAGTTAGAGGAAGAACTTCTTTATGTCTATACCTGCAACTTTCTGAATCGAAGGATTAAGAGCAATATGTTCGTAGTCTAAAGGTTGGTAATTTGCAAAGGCATCCATGACTTGAATATAGAAAGGTGGGTAAAGGTGGCTAATAAATGCATGGACGTTCTTTCGAGGAGGAACAGCATCGACATATGACTCTTCATGTGCTCGATCACTGGAGGAAAAAATTAATTCGGCCATGAAGTGTATCAGTCTGTTCGAATGCTAAGACAGTGGAAGTGCTTAAAGGATTAAACGAGAGTTTAATACAGATGGTGAGTGACAGTTGCATTTCTGGGTAGATACAAAACCCATGCACGTTCTAAGACGTGTGGAAACGACCCTGATCCACTAATATCACCAAGTCTTGGGTATATTAGTGCGTGGCTTCATATTTTGTATAAGCCAGTGACAATTCGACGTGTGGCAAGGTAAGGGCAATATGGGAAACCAGTCAAGTCTCCGATCATGATCATACACGTGGCAGTTAAAATTGGTTGTTATAAGATCTGAGTAACAGTGGATCAACAAAGAGATGCAAAGTGACGTGGCTTCAACAGTTACTCACATTTAAATTCAAATATAGGAGGGGAGCCTAACTGCAAGTGAAAGCGTAATGAAACTATTCATAAGGCAGCATGATCAGCGATTATAGAGGAGCAGTTCGACGGTTTAAAGTGCAGTTCGATGGTTATCTTTGGGGAGTATAAATAGCAGGAAGGACCTCAGAGAAGGGGGAGGCTCAAATCTAAAGAAAACCAGTCTTACTTTACATATTCCAGTTTTATTTCCTATTCTTTACATTTCTGTACTTTAAATTCCTGCACTGCACTTCATTTGTAGGAGTAGTTTTCGAGTATATTGCCGCTGTAAATCTCTACGAGGCTGAGATCATTGTAAGTTTTTCATACTAATGAAATGTTTCAATTTATTTAACTGTTCTTATGCTTAAATTCTCCAAAATCAAGCTACCAGTAAGCCACCAGTAAAAGTCCTCTTCATTGAGGCTGAAAGAACTATAACACAATCGTCTGAATAATTGGTTGGCAATTACAATTCTATAAGGACTGATTGATCCTTACTGGTACGCTCATAATTACAAAAATAACCTTCGAAAGCCAAAAAGCCAACAGTATCTTAATCAAATCAAGTGGACCACATAGACAAGTATAAATAAAACATAAAGTTAATCCTTTAATTTTTCCAAGAAATTATAGGAACATGTTCCTTTAGGCAATGTTTCAATCTTGGATTTATGGAATAAAAAGGTGAAAAAAAGAAAAGAAAGAAGGGCAGATATATAAATAAATAAATAAAGAAGAAGAAGAAAGTTTGTACTTCATTTCCTTTTTTTCTCCTTTTCTTATTTTTTAAAGAAAGAAGGGCATATATATTAAAATAAATAAATAAATAAATAAAAGAAGAAGAAAGTGTGTACTTCATTTCCTTTTCTTCTCCTTTTCCTTTTTTTTCCCGCCACAAATCCAAATTCCAAACACAAAAATTTCCAAATAAAATCACATTGGTTGTGTTCACTATCACCCCCACTCCTGCCAAAAAAAATCATTAAGGCATTTAACTTTTGTGTGTGCATCTGTTTATGTTTATTGTCACAAATTTGAGAACTATTAAATTTTGATCACATAAACCATAAAAATAACTAAACAAATAAAATAAAAAGGCACAAATTTTCATATATATTAAATTTTGATTACATGAACCATATATATAAAAATAAAAATAAAAATGCACCTAGGTTTCACCATATAGTTTTATTGCCTCAAGCTATTCATAACAAAACTTGTACAAATAACATGAGTATTATTTGCGTAGAAAGTCACGTAATGTGTGTATATCTGCAAGATTGAAACAAACAATTCTCATACAAAAGATGCTGGTTCATTGTTAATAAAGAAGAGGCCGGAAGGCCCATCATCAGGCAGCAGGGCTAACTTCACAGGACATTGAGCACCTTGTTTTGTAGTTTTTTTGCCGATGTTGTTGTTTATATCTGTTTTAACCCAACCGGGGCAAACACAGTTGATGCGGAATGTGGGATACTTCTTGGCCAGAATTCTTGTGTACGCGTTTATGGCTGCTTTTGACACTGTATATGCAGATGAAAAAGTAGGCCAACCTTTGGTTTCTAACGCACCTTCTTTGAAATCTTTTAGAAACTCATTCAGTACCTCTTCTACTCTCTCCTCTGTAAGGCTTTCGACATCATTCAACACTCCTTTTGCCCATTCACTTGGTATGAACTGAAACAAAAAATTGAGAAAAACTAAGATCAACTACAATTGGCAAAAAAAATTTTGCAAATATGAAAACGAAACCTCCACATCCATGAGAAAGGAAATGTATGGACCAAACAATACAAATCAGCATTTTGCTCAACTCCCTTTGATTTCATTATGAGACCACATAAAAAGTGAGTCTTTGCAAACAAGAGAGAAGGAAAAAATTTCATAGATGACGAGATCAGCTCCCATATACTCTCAATTTTTTTCATATAGTCCAAAACCCAAGTGTGGGAAGCCAAATCATTTGGGGGATTTCTTTTGCTACTAAATCGAACATTCTTAACAACAAACTGTAAGGAACACATTTTTAAGATATGGGAGTTCAAAATGATTTTTACAATTGTATTTTAACTTTCAAAGAAACAAATATATATATTGTTTTTAAAAAATGCTTTCTAAGCGGCTTGGCTGACACCACTAATCATTGAGAGATGTCACCCACAACATTGATAATTACTTTTGGTAAGAGATAGTTAAAACTTCTGCTCTTTAATCCAAAACTGAAAGCTAGCAAGGTTGTCTGTGTAAGTTTGTTTTAATTAAAGTGCAAATTTTGTACTTATGAAAGCGGGTATGGTTACTTCTATACCTGTAGCCTCCCCATCCCAGAAGAGACATTTACAATCCTTGGTGAATCAGAGAGCTGGAGGAGGGGAATGAGTGCTTCGGTCATCGCTCTTGTGCCGTAGTAGTTTGTTTGCAAGCATTCATTACCCAACTCGTAGCTTTGAGTCGTTATTTTTTTCATTGAGCTCGCGACTTCTTCCTGCATTAATGCATTAATGTCATTCAGTAACAATCCTTGTGGTTTCTATTACCTATTACCTAAAAAGCATAATCCATGCCCTGTTTTAATTTTTAGATTAACAGCCAAAGCATGAAATTGGAAGACAATTGAGATGATTTTGAGCCAGTTTATAAACTATACTCCGAACACTCTCCACTTTCTTCAACCACTTTTTTCTTTCTGCTGAAATATAATGACTCATTTTTTTAAACATGAAAGAATTATTGAAAAGGAGTATGATGACTTTTGGGACCTTTTGATCCCGTAAATTATGCACATGAATGATCTTAGAGGTTGTCACACATGAGGCAACAAAAGGTTTCTCTAACACAGGTTGTAGGAAAACCTTGCCCAAATATATATATATATATTAATAAAAAGTGCACTTTTGCTCTCTTGCTTTTCTATGTGGAATCATTCAATGTTAATACTGATCTGCAAGAAATTTAAAAATTAGGTATAGATCATAACTTTTTCATGAAAAAATCATGCATCTTAGTGAGACAAAAGAAAGAAAAATAGAATATCAGTGGCCATTAGATGTATGCATCAATGGAATCACAACAATTTGAATTTACTTGAGGGAAAATGACATGAATCATGCATTAAGACTCACCCAACTACCGTCCGATGACTGCAAAGAATCCCAGTCCATCTTGACTCCAACAATTCCAGCATTATTCACCTACAAGAATTCAAGCTTTTTCATTACTTCACAAAAAATCACTGGAACGTGCAAGGAAATGAGTAATAGATCTTTCTAGAAATTTGGATTGAAGGCCATATCTGCCTCTCACTAATAAGTAAATGCATAGTTCATTCCATATTTTCACCGATCATGCAACTGATGACAAAAAACACAACTAATTTTCTTGTTGAATAACATAACGACACTGCTTTTCATTCTATCAAGACAACCAAACATGTATTGCCAAAGTTTATCAGAATAGTAATTCTAATTATAAAATTTACAATTGAGGTAAGCTTATCGCTGTTGACTCAGACTGCACAAAAACTAATGATAATTATAAATTAAATGAATAAAAATAGAAAATTTGAGAATTGGGCTGTGAATCATACCAAGATATCAAGCCTTCCAAATTTGGACTTGATAAAATCAGCAAAGGAAGCAACACTAGATGGGTCCACAACATCAAGTTGACAGAACACCACATGATCAGAGAGGCCATCACTTTTGAGTTTCTCAAGGGCTTCAAAACCCTTCTTCTCATCTCTAGCAGTCAACACCACTATGATTCCCTTAGAAGCTAATTGCCTACATATCTCAAACCCTATTCCTTTATTTGACCCTGTTACAACTGCATACCTACACAGAGACAACATAACACAAACAGTTGGTGGGTGAGAAAGTTGAAGCTAGAATGAGAGTGAGTGAAAGAGAATTCAAATGCTACAAAAGAAGCAAAAATACACCTCTTTGTTGTAGTGATTGCCTCTGCCATTGCTGACAAGATGGGATGTGCCTGAGGAATGTTAGCTTTAGTTCACCTCTCAACCTTTGGTTCTTTTATTGATAAACCAAGATAGTTTTGCTAAATACCTTATTTATAGTGTATGTGTATGCTAAGTCAGGGTTTAAATTTGTGCTTGTTATAAATTTTTGTGGTGTTTCAATTATGTGGGGGGTATATATGTAAGTTATGGTTTCAATTAATCGTTCTTTTACTTATACGGAAATTGGATATAATCTATTTGTATAGGTGTGAGATTCACAAAAAAATACGAAACGCCTCATGTTAAAGGACTATATTCATGTGGGATCGCTTTATTTGTTCCTAATCTTCTTCTTAAATTAATGTTGGTTTTGAATTTTTGTGATGTTCTTTGATTATGCATCGTTATGGTGGTAGAAACAATAAATAATTGAGAGTGGACAGATTTCAATCTGTAATTGGATTTGACCATTTAATCCTGTCCAATGGACCTATTTTTGGGTTCTATTTTAATAAATTAAACCGTCTACATTTTAGAGTTCGTCAAGTACATTATTCTTACAAAAAATCAAAACGAACAAATAATAGAAAACACGTATTTGATCAATTCTATATGAATCATTTATTTTCTCACCATTTATTTTTTTCATACAAAATTGATCCAAACACATGATTGTCGTTATCCGATCGACTTAATTTTTATAAGGAATGATGTACTCAACTAATCTTAAAATATGAACAATTTAAATTATCAAAATCTGACTTAAAAGTGAGTTCATAAGGTCCAATAATACCTCTCTAGTAGGATGGAATAGCCATTAATATTATTTCATTTATTATGAAAAGTGGCTTATTGAGTCCGTAGGAGAAAATAATCGGCATCGCTTAGGCTCTTCTCCGAGTAATCGTCATCGATTACGTCACAAGGTCTCGATTTCATTTTTATTTTCTACATTATTCTTAATTTTTAAAATTTTATTCTTCAACTATTAATTTTATATATTTAGTCCAATTAAAAATAATATGTCCAAATTAGTACTTGTTCAACCCTAAATGGACAAAAAATTAATTATATAATTTGAACAATCGAATTCATACAATCAAATACCCCATCCTATTATTCACATTATATTATAACCACACACAAATCTTTTTCATTCTTTATTTTGAATTAGTGATTAAAAAAATTATTATCTGGCTGTATAGATTAAATTATTCAAATTTTGAAATAACCTTTTTACTTGTCAAATTAAATTTTAACGATTGTTGACTTAGACATTTATCTCGAATTAGAATATATTATCTTGAATTAAAAATGGTGGAAACTAAATAAATAAAATTAATAATTAAATGATGAAATATACAAAATGATGTTGCTTTGGGGATAAAAACGAAATTAACTCATTATTTTTTATAAAGTAAAGGAGAATGTTTTTTTTTTTAAAAAGAAATAGTAATTTTAATTGTGTGGTATTTGGTGAAGTAATGTTAAAGTAGCATGTATAGCATAAAATACACACTTTCAGTGGTGTAATAAATGTTGTGCTAAATGGTACAGAACGTATCAAGCCACTACATTATGCTATACATTTTAATCAATTAATTATTTAATAAAATTGCATCCATACCATTATAATTAGAATTTAATTTATAACTTGTTTATTATGTCATTTTTAATTAAAATTTTCACCTATCATTTATACCATTGTATTTTCATTTGATTTTGAATTTTCAAATGCAAATTTTGAGTTTTTCGTTGTCGTTAGTGAACTTTTCATATTTTAGTCATTTTTTTAGATACGCTTAATCTACACACTTAAAAAATAAAATATTTGTAGATAAATTTAAAATAAGAAATAAATGATATAAAAATACAAAAAAATATAGTAAATTTATATATTTTATATATTTTTGTGTATAGTCAATTTTTATATTTTTTTAAAGTGAAGAAACCAAAATAATGAAAATATAGGGGTATTAATATTAAGTGTAACTAACTATTTTGTTTTTTGTTTTTTTTTTAAACAACTATTTTATTTGAAACGCAAATTGAGAACTTTTAGGAACTCAATATAAAAACACTACAAAGTACCCAAAATTTGAAATCAAGGTTAAAAATTCACTGATGGTGGGACTGTTTGTTACAATTTTTGGAAGGTGGTTATAACTTATTTTGATTTTTGAGTCTGTGTCAGATTATTTGGTGCAACTTCTACTTATAACTTATTAAGCAGAAATAACTTAAATAAACTAAAAAAAAATTAATTATTTAAAAATTAAAATAGACATATTTTTTACTTCTATTTTTTGATTATAACTTTTAACTTAAAAAAAGTTGCCCAAACAGGACCGGTATCTCATAATAACAACAGGACCGGTATCTCATAATAACAACTTTAATCCTACCCCACTAATTTAATCCCAACAACTTTAATCCAAACAGGACCGGTATCTCATAATAACAACTTTAATCCTACACCAAAAAGTTGCCCAAACAGGACCGGTATCTCATGATATCCTGTGATATTTTTTTGGATTTTTTTCCGAGTCCCTAGTCCATAGACTTTTCCATGCAAATTTGTCTACCACGAAGGCGAATAATAATAGTCGCTTATGTCACAAGCTTTTGAATTTGTCTACCACGAAGGCGAATAATAATAGTCGCTTATGTCACAAGCTTTTGAATGATGGTGATGTTACATATATTAATTAATATATTAATTAATATATTAATTTTAATTATAATGTTATTATTGACCTCACTCATTTAATAAATTATAAATATCAAAAATCTCTTAAATTATATCACATCATCAATTAATACACTAATTAGTATACTAATTGGTACATATAGTATTATTATCAATTGGTTTACTAGTTAGTACACTAATTGATACATATAAATAATGTTATATGCACCAATTAATATACTAAATAATGTACTAATTGATAATCAGACATAATTTAAGAGGCTTTTGGTATTTATAATTTGTTTAATGAGTAGGGACAATAATAATGATATAACTAATATTGGTACACTAATTAGTATACTAATTAGTGCATATAACACTACCACAAGCTTTTAGGTTTTGAGATTTTTTTTCCATAAATTACACTTTGATCCTTAAAATAATTCTCTCACTTTAACCTCAAATGTTTGTAATAATTTTTTCCAATTATTTTAAAACAAACGTCTATTTAACTTTGAAAAAAAAAATGTCGTTTTTCTTCTAATGACCGGGTGGCAGCCACATATGACATATAGATCATATTTGTTTGAGCGGATTGGATTATGTTGGATTAGCATTCCCATGATTAATAGTCCTAGAATTACGAATTTCTTTGAATTGTGTATCATATCCTATGTTTGGATTGAGTTAGGATATAAGAATAGACTAATAGTCCAAATTTTGGCTTAGTCCTTCAATTTATATCTCATCCCTCTCTGTGAGATTGAATAGTCCATCATATGTGGGATACCATATCTGAATAGATTGTTAGTAGTACTTCAATTATTTAACCAAACATCAGATTAATAATTTTATTCGACTATTAATTCAATCCTAAGCTCATGCCCACCCAAATAAACATGGCCATAATGGATAAATTATACTTTGTGCCCAGTTTCACAATTAATTTTTTGACTAAAATAATCAAAAATTCATAAAAAATAAAAAAAATAAAAAAGTAAATTAGAAATATACCTTTGAAAAATTATATGAATTTGTAGAAATTTTTTATTTAATAGAATTAACAAAAAATATAAAATTCCTAATTGTATTTTATTCAATAATAAAATTACATAAATTAATAATTAAAATAAATTTCTAAAATCATTAAAAATTATTAATTAACTTGATGATTTATTAATAAAAAGGTCATTTATTATGAAATTAGAAATTTTAAGAGATGAAATGTAATTTCTAAAACTATAAAGAGACAATTCATATTTTAAACAAACCTCAAAGAGTGTATTTGTAATTTATCTAAAAATTAAAAAGTCAAAATATCATATTATACACACTAATCAATTATTTTTTTCGCATTATACACACTAATCAATCAACTTTCTTATTTTATTTTATTTTTTACACAGGAGGAAAGGAATAGTCCTAGGTAATAAGCTCTACTAAGGGAAAAAGAGGAGAAGAGGCCCAGTTGAGTCCTAAACATCCACTAAGAGCAGATTTTGCCACACGATGCGCAACCATATTTGAAGACCTAGGGCTCAAAGAAAAGAATAGCCTACGGGAGGCCATGAATCTGATATCTCTAATAATCACAGCCACATTCCAACGAGAAACATTCTCTAAATCACTTTTTCTCTTACCATTATTTATGCAAATGACTATTTTAGTTGGCTTTTAAATTTTTTGTGAAAAGACTATTAAAAATAGTAAAATTTTTTTATAGCGATTCCGATTTTGAACCGTCACTTGTTGTATTCCAGACTCGGGTTTGTATGGTTTTGAATGGTTATTCATATCTTATTTCCCTTGTCTTTCTCCTATTTTGGTTATTGGGTTTTGGTTGTATGTTTGGAACAGGTTGGGTACTTGTTTTACCAAACCTTTGTTGCCTAGATTTTGGCTTCTCCGCTCGAGCGGCCATTCTTGCGCTCGAGTGGGATTCACAAATTTTGCTCCTCTGATCAAGCGGCCATTCTTGTGCTTGAGCGGGATTTGCCAACTCTCAGTATTTTTTTTTTTTTTTGCAGACCTGCAAATATTAGGAGAGTGCATTCTACGCTCGAACGGCGTTTCCTGCACTCGAGCTGGTGGACGCTCGAGCGTCTAGTCTTGCGCTTGAGTGGTGTCATTCGTCTGCAAAACTTCTGGAAGTATGTTTTCTACGCTCGAGCGGAATTTTGTGTCTGATGCTCAAGCGTCACTTTCCACGCTCGAGTGGACTGTGTGTGTCCATGAAAATGACTTTTTGATTCACTTTTTCATTACTATCTCTCTCTAAAACTTTCCAAAAACCTAGATCTTGACCATCTCTCTCTCTAAAACACACACTCTCTCTCTCTCTTTACATTTTGACCTAGATCCTTTGGGTTCTCTACCCTAGTGTCTTTGAGAAAAAGTTAGAGCATTACAAGAGCTTCATTTTAGTCGGATTAGAACTTGGTTTCGGCGTTGT